AACATTTAGAGGTATGCCACTTCAAAATCCGAATAAGATAAGCTGAGTTATGGACTTTGGAATTTCAGTCCTGGGACATTTTTGAGTTTCTACAACATCATAACATCAGAAAAATTACAAAAAAATGTAAAAAAAATAAATTTCTAAATTTGAATGCAGTTTTATAGAGAATTGCTCCAGAAACATTTAGAGGTATGCCACTTCAAAATCCGATTAAGATAAGCTGAGTTATGGACTTTGGAATTTCAGTCTTGGGACATTTTTGAGTTTCTACAACATCATAACATCAGAAAAATTACAAAAAAAATGTAAAAAAAATAAATTTCTAAATTTGAATGCAGTTTTATAGAGAATTGCTTCAGAAACATTTAGAGGTATGCCACTTCAAAATCCGAATAAGATAAGCTGAGTTATGGACTTTGGAATTTCAGTCTTGGGACATTTTTACATTGCCCAGATTTTTGGGAGTTTCTGTCAAAGGCCTGCCTGTCAGCCTGCTGCCAGCTAAAACGCTTATTATAATGAACTGAAATTTAATTAAGAGTTTGCCATATTTTGTTTCAGTCTGTCCATGGAGCACGTCTCATCTCCATCAAGTTGGCCATCATCATCAAGATGGTTGGTGCGTTGTGTCTCCATTTCAAGCTTCATCACGAACAATATTAACGTTATTGTGTGGCCGGCCACTCCACCAGGTTCACTGCCAGAGCCCAAAAAATGTTGTTAACTAAACTTTTACGCAATATAACACAGCAGAACACAAACACGAATACGATACAAAAACCGTAGCCGTAAACGGCGACGTAACCATAACCGTAGACCAGGCCAGGACGAAAGTAAGGGAAAACTTGAAATTCACTTTATTCGCGGGACAGCAAGAAGACACGAAGACAGTGCCAAAAACGACGAGAGTCCACTGTACACGAGTTTATATGTATGCCAGTGTCCTTTTTCCGTCCTGTTTTCCCTTTTATTAAATTGAATTTCACCCTCGAACATGGACGGTGCCCAAGAATTCAAAATGAGGCCGAGGCGATATGTTTATGAGGCCACTTGTCTGTCTACCAAATACAATTTTCGTATTTTTGTATACGAGTATTGGCGCTCATATTTCACAGCGTTGCCCGTTGAAAATTTCGTCGCTTTTAAATTTGCTTTGACATTTTTGGGCGACATCGGCTATATTGAAAAGAACTGAGAACATGTCCCAAGTCCATCCCTACTCCAAATTCAGTACCGGAAATCGAATTAAAAACTCATCTTTGCTCAATTTGTGCCTGCTCCTTGTGTCCCACATTTTCCGCAGTCAGTCGCAGATGATTTGGGCTCGTGTTCTGACTAAAACACCATCTATCCTTGCCATCCAGACCCCACTAAAACACCATTCATCCTTGCCAGCCTCTCATCGGGTATGTGGGCGTTGTTTTCCACCTTTTTCAGAGCCGCAGATCCGCAGTTCTCTGCCCAGAGCCCGCAGCAATTTGAAGTTTGATAATTGGGTATCGTTTTTTCATATATTTAATAACTGCAAGGGTATATATGCTTCGGTTTGGCGAACATGACTTCCTTTCTTCTTTTTATTGTTTTACTAGCAGAAAATCTGTTTCATTCGTTGGCTTTTATTGTTGCTACGAGTAATTTTATGTGTATTGCATTTAAGCTAATATTCGAGTTGTTGCTCGGAGGTTTTAATGCCGTTTTTACGATCTTTTTATTGCCTTTTTATTTGCTGGCCCTTGGACCTGACCCAGTGCCACTGGTCAGCATTCTCCACAAGCAATTTCTGTGGAGTGGCTCAACTTGCTCAACTAATTTCCAGCAATTACAATAGGGAAAAGGAATGAGCCAGGCAGCCTCTTTTATTAATTATAATTTGGCGACTGCCAATTGCTCCATTTATGAGAAATAACACCCCCATATCAATCATCGTAAAAGTCCTACTTTGGACGTAACCCTTTAAGGACACATTAGAGACACTTGGCTGGCTGGTTTTATGTGATCCCGTTTTGTTTTGGGCGGGGACAAAGGGGTTGTTCATTGACTTTCTTGTTCACGACTTGGTTAACTGGTTGGTCACTTCAAAGGATGGCAAACAAAGATAATCTCGGCCACAATTTATTTACCTTTCGCTGACCAAACCAATTTACGATTTTAATCAAAACCCAGTTGGAGCGGCAGCAGGAGCAGGAGCAGGAGCTGCCATCAAAGCAAATAGTTGAGCTGCTGTCACTATGCAAAAGGGAAAGGGCAAAGGGCAAAGAGCAAAGGTCCAAAGGCAGCCGGCTAATGCCCAGTGTCCAACCTAATTTGACGCTGACGAGAAACGAGAAACGAGGAACTGCATGTCCGATTGTCTGTTTTTCCGACTGTCTGTCTGTCTGTCTGTCTGTCCGTTTGTCCAACCGACTAACCAACTGAATGACTGACATGCCAGTCTGTGCATAATGCTTATTACCGCAATCATTTACAGCACTTGGCCATGTTCCCTTTATCCTAGGCCTGGTCCAGTGAAGATGCGGTCCCCCTCCCGTGGAAGTGATGTTTCCCCAGGAATGCAATATGCAATCTCCAGGCACACGCACTCTACTCCCGCACATTAGTGAAAGTGTTCGGTGCAGTGAGAGAATAAACAAGTGAGCACTGTGCCATTCCACGGGCTTACACTTGGAGAAACTAGCAGCTATCAAGGTCATTTCATTCAACAGATTTCCCTGTTAGTTTGAAATTTTCTCAAGTTTGTAAGTTTACATTGATCCAATGATTTGCTACCAAATGAATAAAAAGCAAATAGTTCAAGTCCAATGCCTCATTCAATTGACTTTCTTTTTATGTATAAATGTAAATAATTACCACACAAAGAGTGGCCATTTTCGCAGTGCCGACAAGCAACAGTTTCCACTATTTAATGGCGATCTACGAGAAGCCCCCTCTTACTCCGCATGGTTAACACACACATGCGCCCGAGTGTGTGCGTGTGTGTGCACTGGTGTGGTGTCATGTTGGCTATTATGAATTGTGCAATTGTCGTCAACGCCAGCGAGAAGTCAACCCCATTCTGTGCCGCTTTGGGTTCCCTTTTTCATTCCGGGTCACCATCACCATCAGCATCGCCGTCACCATCTCACCATCTCGCCATCTCCATCTCCAGTTGAGCTGACAGTCAGGCAGAGAGGCAGTCAGTCCATCTCCCGGCTCTTGCCCCGAATCACTCCCACTGTTAGTCACATCTAGTGCTTGGTTTCATTCCGATTGCCTGCTCATCATCCAGCAGTTCTTTGTTTGTACGACGATGGCACACACGGCGTATACGTAATGCTGGCTGCGTTTGCCTTCGTTTGCTTTCGTTAGATGCCTGCATTTGCCGCCATTTTTCAACAGAGTGTTTTGTGTTTTTTTATTGTTTGTAAAACTACTGGTTTTGTTGCTGCTCCGGCACTCCTAGTAAATGACTCTTCAACGTTTGTCCTATTTGTCTGGCAGCACTTTGGAGTGCCAAATATTTTTACATTTGTACGTATACCGCTTCCCTTGCCATTCCCATTTGTTTCAGCAAACATTTTATCTAGCAGACAAATGCTCATGTCTTGATGGGTATACGCGCTGGAAATCGACCTGCTTCGGCATTTATGACATCCGACGGCACTCTAATTAAGCCACCAAGTGCTACAATCCGCCAGGTGAGAAGCGCAGCAGTTAATCAAGCGAGCAAGTATTTAATTAAGTGCGGCAAATGGATATGCATGCGATGGGCTTCATTATGGTGCTTGCGCCGTAAAATCTTTTCCCGGCATTTTCCGTGATTCTCCGGGGGATGCATGTGGTTTGGATGGATAAGCAGGTTGGGTGGTAGGGTTGGCTTGTATCGCTATAAGTATCGCTATAACATTTATGCGCTTTTCCCGGCCCATCAAAGTCATCAAATGAAACGAGCAGCCCTGGCAATCCCACGTCACTCTAAGGATACACTCCATACATATACATACATATACATACAGTTCTGAATCTGATTGTGAATCTGAATCTGTGCGCTCTGGGTGTAAAGTTGTCAGCTAGTTTGCATTCATCAGCAGCAATGCCGGCAATTGAGTGACACGGTACCCATATTCCAGTATCATCATCATCATCAGTAGCAGCATTCGCATCTCAAAGATTTACATGACAGCAGTTGCAGTTCGTTCGCTATTCATTTGCTGGCAGTCCTTTTGATTGCTTGTATTAGTGATTGTCAGTTGGCCAAAAGGGGGCGGATGAGGGGGCGTGGCTGCCTCTACATTTGATTGCCATTGCATCACGTAAATCTCTTATGCTTATGAATATGCGCATTGCGAATAAAATTCCATGTTTGTCACACCGCATTGATTGAAGTGTGAGTCCTGCCACGTATAAGTGTATGTATACACGTATATACATCCTCTTCATTATGCGAATGCAACTATTATGGATACTCCTCAAAAGGACTTTGCGCGCTTTGAGGGCAATTTATTGATTGCTGGCTGAGCAAATGAAAGTCGCCCAAAGCAACGACCCTCATTACGATTCCGAGTACCAATCAAACAGTTTCTCATGGCATTGTGAATGCTGTCGACACCGGCCTAAGCATTTAAGCCATTAACACGCAAAGGTCGCCAAATGCTATTGATTATGACCGCTGGCCAGACGAAAGGGCCAAGACCGACCGCCCTGCGAAACGATAACAAATAACAATAACAAACAAACAATCGACACAAAGAGTCCTGTTGAACTTCGTGGGGTTTTGGGTTTGTCTGGGGCAAATTCGGCTCTTGTACGGCTAAACTGTTTTTCCTTTTCACTGTCTGGCAGTCGCAGTCGCTTGAGGAGGAATAAAAGTCAATTTGAGTTAAAGCCAACTGACAGCCAGTTGTCAATTAATACAATCGCATGTTGTTACAATTTTCTTTAAGTAATGGTAGCATTCAAGTTCAGTCCATTTTACTGGAACATTTTGGTAAGCAACAGAAGCTAAATAAAAAATGTACCAATATAACCCATATAAAATCCTAAGGATATGCACAAGCATCCAGTGAACATCATATGCTTCTGCGTCTGGGGTTCCTTAACTCCTTTCGCCTTGCCCTCTTTGAGGGTTTCAGGTATGACCTGCGGGTTCAGGACAAGTATTGAGCCAATCGGCCAAGTCCGGCATGCTATTAATCAATAAATACCATTCGCCGAGGGGTATGTAAACGTTGCACACGCAGGCATTCAGCAAATGCAGGACGCCAGCAATTACGCCAAAGGCGCTCGACATATAGAATATGAATGCGAACTCGTTGCCGCAATGATCGACCATGGACACCAGGAGGGTAAGTGCGCTTCCTAGGCAGAGGAACCCGCTGGCGAAATTGAACGTCATCGCCTGTAAAACACACTCGTTGAGCATTCATCATCGCCAAAAAGCTCCCGAAACCAGAACAGCCCAGACCAGCCCAGAAAATGTATGTGTACGCACAATTGGATCGAGGCCCACGGTGGTGCAGCACAGCCGGAATATGACGAGCACCACGCTCTGACAGGCGGCGGCGGGCAGGATGAAGGTGTACATCCACACCGATATACCGTACTCCTCGCCCAGGACACAGTGCGTGGATAGGATACGGATGAGCAGACCTAGGGCCACTACCTCCAGCACCTGATGGACAAAGGCAGAGATGTTACCACGCCCATTGCAATGCAAGTTTTCAGTTGTAGTCACCGCCGTTAGCAATTGCAGCACATAGTTCACCACACGAAAGGGGAAGCTCATAATAGTAACCAGAAATTTTGTTCAACTCATTGACAGTAAAATCAAATTTGCCATCTACGGGCTGGATTGGATGGAAAAAAGGGGAATGTTTTCTCTTCGATTGTGCTTTGAATTGGGTGAAATTGAAAGGGACCTAGCCTCAAAGTACAAGTTATTAAGAGAACCCAATTCAGTTAGTGTGGCCAACTTCGCTTAATTACAATGTCATGCCGCTTTGGGCACACTGTTGCTCCGTGAATGCTTTATTCATGATACCCATTTGTGGAATGGCTTTTCCCGTGACTTTTCAAAATGGTACACCGCATAAGCACAGTATCTGTTTATCCGCTTGGCAGCAAAATTATATTATTTTCTGTTGCTCCTTTTATTTGTTGCGTTTTTCATTTCGTTTTGGCCCAGCTAATCTAATTGGCCTCGATAGCGCTTGTTGAGTGCCAGAGTCGTTGCCCCGCCACGCATTTGTTGCTTTGTTTGCGCTAATTTCATTACTTGTGGAATGTGGCGATGATTTCATGCAATTTAAAGCCACATTTTTCAGTGGCGAAGCATTTAGCGTAGTACCTGACCGGACCCGAGCCGGACCCATGGAACTCAGGTCCAAGTGCCTGTCCAAATACCCAAGAGTAGTCCCATAACCGGCTAGCCACCCACCCACTCCAGGCTTTTATAATAATTGCCTGTTGACACGGGATGGCCGAGGGGCAGCCAGTTAGAAGGTACGGGCAGCATTGGGGTTTCGTTTCGTTTGGGAACGCCGACTGGGATCGAGCAATGGAAATACCGTTGATAAATGAAATTTTCAAAACGTGAACCAACAAAAGGGGACAAAAAACAAACGAAAGCAAGCCGAACACAAAACAAGCGGAAAAAAGGGGGCGGCAAATATAATATAATTTAATTTGTTCGTTCAGCCCACATTTTTGACCCTCTTCTATAAAAACCAAACTAGGTTTGGTTAAGCATTGGTTGAGCAAAAAGCTCTTAATTTCTTAAAAGGAAAATGTGATCGATACCTTGCCGAGTCAATTGCTGGATGGGTGGACAACTCTCCCGAGTGGCATAAATTTTGCCAGCTTTGTTGCGACAATTGCATATTAGCCAAACTTGACAACGTTTCGCCTTTTCCTTGAAATTTATGGAAAAATGTTGCAAAGACAAAAAACTTTCGACTTGAGATAGAGATGCGAAGTGAAGTGAACTCCCCAAAGCGGCCAAAAAGCAGCCGGCAGCAGCAGCAGTTGGAGAAAGAGAAATGTTCTCGAATAAACAACAGCGGAAATGTAGGCTATGATTTGCTTACTTGTGGGGCGTTGGAAAGGGGGGAAGGGGATTTTCGCCAGGGAATTGGACCAATGACAAGGGCGGTGTGGCATGGCAAAAGTTGCAAGAGTCAGAGAGCTGGCGAAACATAAATCAAATGCATGTAAAATTGTCGTACTTTCCGCACACATATCCTGATCCTGTGCAAGTGCATTGGGCAGGCCCACAGCAGGACAAGCGCCGGAGGAAAGGACGAAGAAAAAGGACAAAATAGGAAGGACGGTGTATTGGTGGGCGGAGTGGCAATGAGTCTGTGTATGTGTTTATGTGTGTGAGTCGGAGTGCGTTGTGTTTTGTGCACATCCGTTAACTTTGTCATTTTTGCTCATTTCCTTCCGGCATGCGCAAGAAAACTGCAGCAGCAGGAGCAGGGCCAAACGAAATGATTCCCAGCAGTGCTCCACTGAGCCACTGAGCCACCGAGCCACCGAGCCACCGAGCCACCGAGCCACTGACAAGCCGTAAGCCGTAAGAAACCCAACCGAACTACAAGCACAAGGCTCGCTGGCAAAACAAAAGCAATGCGGAAAGCGGCAATAAGTTGAGGGCATAACTTTCAGTGCCTTCAAGAACACGTCCTTCAGTGGCGTGCGGAAAGGGGGTTACTTAAGCCCACATGAAGATACAACAGTTCTTGACTTTTCATAGTGACTTTATCCACTGAACTTTGCATACGCAAGTTTCTTGCGCACTCATTAATGAAATTCTTGGAATTATCCATTTGCATTCTATATAATAACAGCAATTAAATAGAGGTTATATTGTAACCCCCATTGAAAAAACCGCAGTAAGCCCCTGGCTGAAGGGGCGAGAGGCTCAGAGCATTTTGCATGAAATTAGAGTCGTAAGACACAACAAGAACCAGGCAAAAAGTCTTGGGTCTATAACTTGCTTGTTGGAATTTAATTATTTTGCAGTTGCTGTTTCAGTGGTGCAACTTGGTCACGGGGGTCTTATTTTTTGTGCATTACACGGCCCACACGCCACACCCCAGCCCCCTCGTCACCAATCCCCGCAAGCCCCACATCCTGTCGGGAATCATGTGCCAAAAATAGCAAAACTTTGCTGCAATTTTCATTCGCATTTATTGTGTTGACATGCTGCCACACTGCGTATACGTATCCTTGATGCAGCCAAACAATTTATTTATTTAAGTTGAGCTGAGTAGCAAGCACGAGTTGGGGTGCGAGAAAGCGGGAAAACTTTTTGCCGTATGTTTGCGTTTGAGAACTGGAAAATAAAAATATTTGTACACTTCGCGTTGTTTGCCCCTGCTCGTATCCGATTAGATGTCCTGGTTTCTCAAGAGGATGAGCGGCGAGGGGGTAAGCAGCATGAACATGGACAAATTTGAGCTGAACAGAAGTTAATACCCATGCCACCTGCATTCCGGAGCTAAATGCATTCAAAGTCAAAGCCACATTAATTAACATGCTTAGGTGACTTTTATCAAAAACCAATTAAATCCACACACTCAAACACGCACACACACACACACACACAGACACACACACGGGGGGCACAAAGTAAAGTTGATAATTAAATGAATCTGTGTGAGTGGCTTTGAGTTCAAAGTTGGCAGCCAGCTAAAACTCTGTGAACATAATTTTTTCTTTATTTTCACCGTATGTGTGTGTGTGTGTGTGCTCTTTGGTATGATGACACATGCGACACGACGGTATTAAAAAATATATATGCATAGCCAGAGTATAAATAAAAATTCACAAATAACATTATTAACGTTAAATTAAACTTTGGAATTTTGTTTGCCCCCCAACCAGGCGGCTCCAAAAAACGATTCAAAAGAACCTACAGGAGTAACTTTCAGAGTGCCTGTGAAGTGCATTAAAAGCGGGGGAGGAGGCTAGGGGGGCAGGAACCGGAAGTGAAGACCAAAGGCTTGTTTGTGTTTACCGTAATTTGCGGCTCACTCTCAAAACATAATCAAAGACTTCAAATAAAGCCGCAGAGTTGGTCGTAATCGAGCATCTTACCTAGTCAACAACTCGACGACTACTGTGCGGATGTAGAGGGATTTTTCTAGATTTTTGCGCCACAGATTTTCCACTTTTTCCACCCGCCACCACCCACTACATGTATTTGTCAAGTTTGCCAGCGTATGCGTGACACGTAGTAAATTAAATGCGAAACTCTGTAGCAGAGTGTAGCTAACTGAGAGTTTAGTGTTTGTGTGCGAAGTCGGAGTTTGAGTGGCTACAAAGAATGCTCTTGAATGCTATATGTATATATGGCATACTACCATATTTGTATGTACCCCATGCTCTGGCTATAAATCATCAAAGTTCAACGTTTGCCATTTTGTCTACAATGTGCAAAAGTGTTCAAAAGCGAGTGTGAGTGTGTGTGTGTGAGTGAGTGAAAGTCTGTGCTTGCGTGTTTGTGCCCAAATGTGTTTGCTTTGCAATTTCCTTTTATTTATTTAAAGTTCCTTAGCAAACATTGCGCTCTCTGTACCATGCTGCCCCCTCCACCCCCCTGGCGGCAGTGTTCACATTAAGTTTGCTGCCAAAAGTTTTAACAAGTAATCTTTTAATTAAGTGTCTGCCATCCCACTCAGACATCTCCTCAGACATCCTGGCATTCGGCAGTCCCAGAAACCCAAAATTATGAGAGCAACAGGAGGCAACAGGAGGCGAGCGGGAAAAACGCACAAATCTAATTTGATTAATGGTCAAATGCTAAGCTTAATTAGTGCAAAACAGCAAACAAAAAACGCTCGAAACCAACTGGAATCGGCATTAATGGTTGCCACAAATACTGGCAAAATAAGAAATTAAATAAATAACCACAGAGCAACAACTAATTGCACCGCAAACGACAATGGCAAAATGACCAATGAAAGGGAAAAGCGGAAGAGAAATGGAAATGGGAAAGTGCACACAAACACAAGTTGAAAATATTTCGCAACTAATAAAAACATTGCGGCGTACTAAATCAACTGGAAAACTGTAAAACACATTGAAACAAAGGTGAGTGGGAAAAGCGTGGCAAAGCGGAAGGAAGTGCTGTATAAGACTACAGGATACCCACTCTAAATATTTTATAGTAAATATACGCAGCGAACAGATAGATACAATTGGATAACTAGAATTACTGAGTATTCTGATTAAGGTGCTGTATGTATTTTACTAAAAGCATATACCCGACGTTTTTTGCAGTACCTGAGGTAAAGAGAAAACCAACTAACGGAAGGTGAAAATAAATGAGGAAGATGGTAAATAGTTTTCCCGCGGGGCAGCAGAACAAATGGCAACTGACATTTGACATTAGTTTTCTTGCGCCATGAACATTTATACTTTTCCAGCGCTCCTAATTAAAGAGATTGTCATGAATTATAATTGCGGCACTTAAGCAGAGCGATTCCATAAATACATATATGCAGTGCCATTCTTTTGAATTCATTAGCATTGTGCTCTTTATCCACACTTTTTCCCCTCCACAATGGAAGTCAATGTACCCGATATGTGCATACAGTTTTTGCCCTTTTTTCCTTTTTTTGCCATTCTAAAGCATCGGATCGCATTTCATACTATTGCGAATTGGAGTTTACATTGTCGGGAGTCTTTTTTTTTCATCGTCGAGTAATTGGACTCCACTTTCAATTGCTGTGTTCTCTAAGCGTCTCTTGAGTTTTCAACCTTAATTGCACTTTAGCAACGTTTTCTGGCTTGTTTGTGTTTGACCAAATTTCATTTCTGCTGCCGC